AGACGCCAAGGACCCTGGCGTCTGGGTGCCCTGTTTCTGCTGTCCAGGACTCTGCTTTTGCTTCCAGTCGACCCCCAGACGCCAGAGACTGTGGCGTCTGGTCCCCTGACTTGAAACCAGACGCCAAGGACCCTGGCGTCTGGGACCCTGTAGATTATTTTGAACTTGCTGTTTGACACAAGAAGATAGCACATATATATTCATATGATAGGTTCATACAACACAGAAGATAGCACATTTCACACAACTTTCACCATGACAAATGTAAGCAGACAAACGACAAGTTCATAGATTTTTCATCGAAAAATTCAAGCATACATAAGACACCAAGTGCATACATATGGTACCAAGTGCATACATAAGACACCAAATTCAAGACAACCTAAGAAGTTTTTAGCACGACACCAAGTTCATGCATACAAACGCCACCTAGTTCATGCACTTCCAAAAAAGAAGCTCACTTCCTCCTTCCTCTCTTCACAATGGTTGCAAGTGTAGGCTCCTCCTCTTCGCTAGCCTCCTCCTCCTCCTCGTTGTATGCCTCCTCCTCCGCCTCAATGTTGGCCTTATATCTTTGCATTCCTGTTGGGATAAGCTGATGAGGATACTCCGGACTATGGAATTGTGTATTCCATGTCTTCTTTCTACCTTTCTTGTCTGGTGTCTTAGCTATGGCTTTGCCTTTCCTAGAGCGAGCATTGCCTTATGTCGGTTGTGTAACCTGTGATGGTTGTGGAGCATCAACATCATACTCATGATCCTCTTGATGTGTTGCATCATACTCATGCTCCTCATCTTGTGTTGGCTCCTCTTAATGTGATGGCTCCTCTTCATGGACCTCCTCCTCCATGTCCTCATCGTTCTGGATATAACGTCGTCTATTAGCTCTGGCGCGGGTACCAGGTGCATACACGTCACTGGACTGAGCACCATGGCAAGAAAGCATTGCTGCCATCTTATGGAACCGCTTCTTGAACTTCTACAACAACACAAAATATGCTATGATATGAGATACAAATAAATAATCCGTGAAAAGAAACTTTTATAATATATTGATCACACCTCCATCGTGCTCCTAAGAGTCCTCTCAGATAATACACCACCAGGTGGATGACTCAGTGCAACATTGGCATCGTTGACGCACAGAAGCAACGATCTGCCCTGCAATTCATGAACAAACCAAACTTATGTATTTGAAAGAAGACAACATGATGCATGCAAGTTTGTTAGAATAGGTCAAACAGACTACCATTTCATCATGCATCGATGCATAGCCAACGTGAGCCCCTCTGGTGTCTCTCACAGCCGTGTTGAAGGTATGATAACCTTCTGCAGTCTCCGGGTCTTCAGACACCAACTCCGACCACTCCTCGTGAGTCCAACCAGGCTTTAGCTTTAACCGATAACGATCCGCATACCACACTTGATACTTCTGATATGCTGACTGATTGTGAGGTCGATTCTCTGATTGCACTAGTGTGTCTCTTTGATTCCAAAATTCTATCCATGCACGGTGTTTGTTTGCCCAATCCGATATATCCTGATTGTTCCTTCGATCGAACCTACAAATGATGCACGGAACAAAGCATTAGCAAACATTGACTTATTCAATACTCTACTACATACTCAAGGCATGCTTGCTCACCGATGCAGAGATAGCATTTCCTCCTTGCTCTCCTCAATTGGAATATCTTGTCTTCTTCCAAATTGTCTTGCCACACGGTCTACAAAGTGCCACTCGACTGCGAAGAAGCATATCATTGGGCACCTCGCCCGCCAAAGATGGCTATCACGCGTGCACATCTCATTAAGATCAAAGTCACGATCTTCCACATAAGGCAACCAATATACCTGCAAAACAAAGAGATACATTGTTAGCTACAAGTTTCATTCTTGACTAAATTTTATCTCATCGAACTTCTCAAAACCTGCTCAGCAGTCAAGGTGTCCAGCTCGTTCATATAGCACTTGTATCGCACATGCGAGCTTCCTGTGTAGACTGTCACTTGTTCCCAATAGTAAGCAAGCGTAGGGAGCCGATATGGATCATTATCATGCAACCCGTCATGATTACCCCGTGGGTTTGCCATGAGGGGGTTCTTGAATTCGGGTCGTCCAACCGGGATCCGCTCCCACATCCACACGGATAGGCTCCAAACAAACCCAGACAATGAGGATGTATCTCCCTTCCTCCGACACGCCAAGTCAAGCTGCAATCAAACAAACATGTTAGATATGGAGGCGCATGACAAATGCAAGATAAATGGTTGCAAATATCTCTTACCTGACGATACAAATATGCTAGTGCGGCCGAACCCCAGCTATACTGGGTATCCCAGTTATTGAGTAGTCCAAGAACATCCAGAGGGCTGAGTTCCCGGTTGCATCTGAGAAGACTACCTTGGTTAGTACATACCAAAGATAGGCCCCCGCGTACTGCTGCACAACCACGTCATTGGCATCCTGAGGGCATGGATTGGTGTTTCCTCTGACCATTTTTAGCCAAGAATGCCTCACTTTCGCGGTATCGGCCTTGCCTTCCTGAGGGCCCTCGGGCTGAACGCCAATTAAATCGGCAGTCCGTTCTCGCCAATTACCCACGCTGACACGACCGGTAACAGCTTGTCCGTTGATAGGAAGGCCGCTTATCATAGCCATGTCCTGTAGGGTCATCGTCATCTCCCCACACGGAAGGTGGAACGAGTGAGTCTCCGGCCTCCAACGATCCACAAGTGCGGTCAGCGCCGCGTGGTTCACCGGCGGAGCGCGTCGCTTAAACTGCAACACGAATGGGATAAGACCCAATCTCCGAATGTAAGCCTCATACCGCGGGTCGTAATCAAAGTCATCAGCGGAATGACCCCTCATGCGCATAGCAACTACTTGCTGCAAATAAAGTGATGTTTTAATAATCAATACAAGAACACAAATGAGAAACAACGAAAATTGACCCAGTCTTGCTTCTTACCTGTCCATTCTCAATGGCACGAGCACGATGCTCCTTATCCCACTCATCGATTAATCTGTCATACCAAGGACCATCACCATCCGCCATCCTACAAAACAAATCACAAACATCTATGAATACATGAACAATATCAAACAATTTCCTTCTCCAAGTTTATGCCATATGAAAACACCATTCTTCTCAAACATAACCACATCATTTCTTTCTTCTACATATGCACACATATCATCTAGAGTACCAAATTTCACCATCAAATAAATTTCATAATCATCATCCGCCATTCTATTGAACAAATCGTGTCACACACAATAATCAAATTTCATCATCTCTTTTGCATAAAAAAATTTGCCATCTATATATTCAACTATATTGTCATACCACTTCACATTTTTATCTTCTTCATATGCACACATAATTATTCTCAAACATACCAACATCATCTCAATTAAATAAATTTGTCAAATAATATGGTGTCACATATGCAAATACATATCATCTAGAGTACCAAATTTCACCATATCTTTTGCAAATATAGTATGCCAACAATAGGATTATCTACACATACACACATCATCTATCAAACCAAATATAGTATGCCAAAGTCTATTTTACATACACAAATCATATATTCATCACCCCTCTTAATTCAAAAAAAAATCCTATGGACAACATATACACAAAACAGAATTGATTTTACCTACATGTTCAACTACACATCATCTACTGCCTACCTAATCATCTATCAACTACAAAAAATTTCCTAAAAAAAAGAAACCATCTACTCATCTAACATCACCTAGTGTTGAATAATGCATCCAACCAAAGAGGGGAAAACAAAAACAAATTGGAGGGAATGGGGGAGAATACCTCAAAGAAGCTTGGGGGGGTCAGATCTGTGAGTTTGAGGGGTTGATGGAGTAGATCAAGGGGGGTGGTGGTGGGAGGGAGAGAAGGGGCGACGAACTGCCCCCTGTTCGTCGAACCAGACGCCAGAGAAGATGAGATTGGGATGGGTGGGCTGGCCCCGCGGCGTTATCCACTTACCGGGCCCAGACGCCACGGCCTCTGGCGTCTGGCCCCTTTGTCATGTCAGCAGGTCAACGGGCACGCGGGCAGTGCGGACCAGGGGCCAGACGCCAGGGTACCAGTCTGCTTCGTAACCCAGACGCCATGGACCTTGGCGTCACCGAAAAAGGTCAGAAACGAATTTTTTTTTAGAACGAGGTCAAATCGGGATTTTCTTTGCACAATGGGTCAGAACAGTAATTTTGTCCTCTATGCCGGATGAGTCGAGTGTGCGCAGAGTCCCAAGAACCGTGAAACCTCTCCTCGAGGCGCAGAAGGGCAGAAGACCAGCAGTCACGGATGGTCTTCCCTCCGCTGCCAATTCGAGCTTCGCTTTAAACCCTTCCCTCACTAACAGGCGGGCCCCGCATCCACCCACCGGTGGAGTGGAACCCCATCCCTCCCGTTGTGGGGACTCGTATTTTGCGCTTCGGGGCAAACTGCTGGAGCAGTGGAGTCCGCAGCCGCAGCAGCAAATACGAGGCGTCGCGCTCTTAATACCCAGCCAAAAGAATAAAAGGAAAAAAAATCGAGCTCTTCACTTTTTCACCCTGATCATCCTGGCTTTGGCAGAAAGGCGCATTTTACTGGCGAGGCCTAGGAGAGCGCGATAGTTGCCAGAGACCCCCTGATGCTTTCTTGATTTGGCGGGGGACTCAGCTGGCCCGGAGCCGGAGGTGAGGGTTTTTGATTTGTTCGTTTGGGCGTTTCATTCATGGGGTGGGTCAATCGTGGGGGTTTCTTTGATCCTCGAGTTCCTGGAGCCAAAACAAGGACTAGTAGTACTAGTTCTCCTGGTCCTGGGAGAGATTTCTTGTGGATTTTCGGTCTAGTGTTGGGTTTTTTATTGGATGTGTTCGAGGAGCAGGGCAAGTAATCAGAAACCGCACCCTTCACATTCTCATCTGCTCCGTCTCTGTTTCTGTCTCGCACCCAGAGTGGCGCGGCGCGGCGCTCCGTCCGGCAAATGCCCCAGTCCTTAACAGGTGAGGCCTCCACCTATTTCTCCCGACCTGGAAGAGCAGCCCTTCTTTTTCGCGGCGAGGGCGTGGGGTTCGCCTTCGCCGCCGGCAGAGAGAGAGAGAGAGAGAGAGAGAGAGAGAGAGAGAGAGAGAGAGAGAGTTCTGCTCCATGAATCCAATCGTCGGGTGGGGGAAGGGCACATCGGTCATTTTAAATCTGTGTTTAGAGAGGGGGATTAATCTCTCTAAGTCAAATGTCAAACATTTTCAAACGGGCACAAGGGGCAATTGCAAAGTACTTTAGTCCTTTTGTTTTGTTAGTTTTTTTTTTGCAAAGTACTAGTACTTCTGTTAGTATCGGAAAAAAAGTACACTTTTTTTGTTTCTTTGAGGTTCAAGAGATGATTAAGTGGCTTTTTGTGCTGTCAATTGTTTGTGCAGGAGAAGGGAGAGGATGAGTAGTGGCGAGCTGGCGCACCAGAACCGGCCCAGGAGCCGTGACACGGAGATGGAATGCGAGGAGGAGGATGAGACATGCAAAATGCTCAGCGAGGAGGAGGAGGAGGAGGTGGAGATGTGGGACAAGAAGGTGCAGAACCGGAAGGCATTCACTGGAAGCCTGGAGAAGGGGAGGAGAATGGAAGAGCCCATCGAACTGAGCGACGACGCCGATGACAATGAGACGATAATGGAAATGTCGAAGAAGGCGGGCAAACACAAGGAGAAGAGGAGGAGGCACAATGACGATGGTGACCATAAGAAGAAGAAGAAATCTGTGAGCAGCCATGGTGGTGACAAGAACACACATAGTGCCGATCGTGACAAGGATAAGAGGAGGGACATGCTGCTCTCGCCCAACAAGAACAAGGACCCTTTCCATTCCAAGGAGAAGAGCAGGACAATGCCGAGCAGCCACGGCGGTGATGGGAAGATGCATCCTGGTGATCACCACAACGATAACAAAAGCAGTACGATGTGGAGGTCTGAGTATGACAAGTACAAGGGGATTCCAAAAAAGGAAATGAAGAAGGATAAGAAACCGTGGCCCGTGCATAACGGTGGCAGCAGGGAGGAGGAGAAGAAGAAGACAGTGCTCGTTCTATCCAAGGAGGGCAAAATGCCTGTGCTAGACAACAGCAGCAACAAGGGAAACAAGTGGAAGAAGACGCCAATGTTGTATGATAAGGTGAAGAAGCCGCGGACCAGTGACAAGGATGACAAGGCAGGCAGTTATGACAGAAAGAAGACAACACCGGGCTATAACGCAGGGCACAAGGTGCAAAGCGGTCACGGAGAGAAGAAAAAAGTAAAATTTGCATTCTTCAAGGTTGCAGGCGAACATTTCGAGGAATTCCTGGTATGCATAATGTCATCAGTTTTGCTCTTCATGTGTTTTCATTATGCTATCATGACTTTGTGTTGAGGTGCATTTGCTCTTGCTCATATTAGTACTGACCTTTTTTACCCTCTTTTATATCCCTTCACTTCTTTGTGTGTACCGTGATGACGGTGTTTAATCGGTGTGCACGCTGATGTGCAGTTGATACCACCAAAGCCGGCAGGGGCATCCAAAATGGTGGGCTTGACTAATCAGCTTGTATGTCTTGAAGACTCAGAGGGGAAGTCTTCAATGGTCAGGCTATCAGTGGTAGATGGTTCCCTAGCTTTTTATCAGGGGTGGAGCAATTTTGTTTCAGACCATTCCATTAAGTGGGCTGAAATCATCCTGTTTGAGTACACTGGCTGCTCAAAGTTTTCTGTGCGGGTCTTTGGTGCGGATTCTTGGGAGAGAGTATCTTTCACTGTTGAAACGCGAGGTGAAGAGAAGAAACAGAAAGAGAGTTATGCACCTGATGATTTGGCCCCATGTCGGTGCTCTAGAGACATAAATGGTCATCACTATGTTTCTGGTGAATATACTAGGAGCAACAGGCCTAAAACAAAGTCTGATGGATATACGGATAACGCTGAGGTTTCTCCTGGTAATTTAGTTGCTAAATCTGCGAATGCAGTTCCAGGGACACGTCGTATGTCTGCCAATTCAATAGAAGATCCTAACGGAGTAGTAGGCGGGATCGTAGGTGGATCCTCAATGGCTCCAGATAACAAGGATGGACATTTGGCGAATGGGAAGCACACAGGAAATGCTATTTTTCCATCATATATAAAAGCTACTACAAGGAGCCCTGAAACAGTTGTAATTGCCGACGAAGCTCCTTTAGCACAAGAAAATAAGGACACAGTGGCTCTTGATAACAAGGAAGCAAATCTGACCATTGGAGAGTGCAAAACGAAGTGCAATGCTTCAATAACTTGCAACAATGAAAAAGCAACTAGGCTTGATTTAGTCCCAGTTACTATTGATGCAGCTCCATTGTCACAAGAAAATGGTGATGCAGTCGAGCTAATGACATTTGCTGGTCACATAGAAGATGCAGTCATGATGAAGGAATCTACTTCGGCAAAATGTGCAGAAATACACGGTTCAGACGAAGATTTAAGGAGGAAACAAGAAGGAAATACAGTTCGATTAGAATGCACTGCTGCTGCGGACAAATTTCCTAGCAATAACAAGATGGACACCAATGGAAATGCTTGCAGCAAATATGAATATCCAGGAGGTTCCCAGTGCTTGGGGAAATGGAAGGAGGCTACTGTGAGTGGTCGAGAGTCTCTTGATGGCACTGAACTGATTAGACCTGAAAAAAGACTGAAAACTGAGGAGAAATTGGTTGGTGCAATGGGAGTAAACCCTGTTGAACGCGGGTATGATGGCACTCACTCCTGTGTGCCTAGCCAAATATCAGAGTCTGGGCTTACTAGGACGAAGATTGAACATTCTGTCAATGGAAAAGGTGAAAGGATGCCTTACCATAATTTTCTAGGGCTGCTGCAACTACTTATTACTTTCTTTAATAGGGAATTAAGTTCACATTTTATAGCATATATACATTTTTGTTTGTAGGCGCTACTGGTAAACCTGAAACAAAAATAGAGCAAGTGGGACCCGTGGAAAGCATTGGATGCAGACAGGAAAGGAACAATATTTCCATGAGTGCCAACCGTGCAGTTGCACATCAGACAGGTGAACTGATTCTATCTGGTTTTTCAGTGTAGAATCAGAGAGGTTTGCCAACTAGGCAAGGCATTTCTTATTTAACACTGAGATTTTCCCATGCAGAACATCATTTCTTCCGACAGGAGGATGCGAAGTCTAGCAATCCTGCGCCCCCGGTGCCTTTGCTGCCTGTCAAGGTTGAAGTTTCGGAGTTAGATGATCATCGTCCCGTATTGAAGGCCAGTTTACAGTTCGTCGTCCCTTCTACCACTCAGACAAGGCTTGTGAGTTGTTTAGACACCATAAATAGTCTTCTTTTGCAGTTTCACCATTACTACTGTTTTACTACTACTTTCATGTCTGTATGCTTTAGTATATTGTGGTATAAGACATCCATCCACCATACTATACCTAGCTATCTTAGTGCTTTCGAAGGTTCTTATAGAACATATGGTAAGATCGCTGTATCACTTGATGTTGTTCAAAGCTAAAGTTGTAAGCGTGCGTACAAAGCTTGTGAGATTGTTGATGAAGATGGAAAATCCATTAAGCTGTGCCGTGTAACCACCACATCAGATCTTATTTCTCCAAATGTTGTTATGAGTACATCTTCATCCTCGTGTAGTTGTGTGTTGAGGTTTATCAGGTATTTATGGTTTCAGTCTTGGCACCATTTAGCTGCCCCTCAGCAACCATTTACTATCTATCAACTTGTTGTATCTTCATTTTAGGAGTTACCCGATCCACTCTCCAATGCTGTTGGGCGCAAAGGGAGGCTGGACCGGAACATTGTAATGCTGAAGGATCCTATGAAGAGATTATGGCCGGTGTTCTACCATGAGACCTCCTTATTCGTGGGCTTTACCGGTGGCTGGAAATCTTTCGTCGCAGCAAACAAGCTTGAGGCGGGGGATCTCTGCGTGCTTCTGATGGACCTGGATGAAGATGAGCTAGTGTACGATGTTGAGATCACCAGGAAATGAGGCCATTGCTCTTTGGTAAAGCTTTAATCCTAACGCTTTCAGATTTTTTTTATTGTCGGGCAACATTTATTTTGGCTAACACCTGTTATAGTCTCCCCTGATGCTGTAGAGGCAGTGATCATCAGCATCAAGGAACATGTTTCTGTTCTGTGTGGCTGGAAAACTTTTGACGAGGATGTGGTCTACATCTTTGTGTGTATATAGTGCGCGACCCTGGAAGACGCTGCTGCTCGGTGTATTTTGTAAGACTGACAAACATCCTGGAAATGTGAAACTCAAGCAAGGGGCATGTTATTTTGGAGGAGTGAAGCAGGAAAGCTGTATGTGGCCTTGTTGCATCAGGTGTTGGAAACGGAGGATGTGTAACCTATCTCAAGTTGGTCGTTTCGCTTTTGCTCTTTTGTTTCTTGATTGGATCCCGTGGTTTGAAACCTTGGATCGGTTTATGTAGAAGGAGCCATGACCATGTGTTTTGGCCCATCAGTGAGTGATGTAGTGACAGGTAGTCGCGGCCCAGATGGCAAGCCTCGTCAGACAGAAAGGGTGCTTGTAGCAGATTTCTGTAGTCGCCTGAATTTCCGTAGGATTGGTTGGTTGCCATCAGATTGTGATCTCAGAAGTAGGGCATGCGGAATGCCCAGGTCCCTCCCTCCGTGGTGGCCGCGGCGTCACCCTCCATCTGCCCAGATTGAATGCGTCTTAATGGCTTAGCGCTTAATGCTTGGGGGATGAGACGGGACCGCGGCGTGCCGTGCTGTGCCGGGGGAATCATTTTCAAGCTTCATTCAGGCTTGAGGAGGAGTTGGCAGAGGTTGGCGGTCTTCCTCGCGAACACCTTCTTAATTTCAGGTCATCAAACCCCCCAACGCCCCCGACCCTCAGGCCGCTTGCCATCGCATTCACAGGGAGGGATATGACACATGTTCTCCAACGCTACGTTCCGTGGAAACGCCTCCGACGGGCTGCATTTTCCTCTTCTTCTTTTCTTCTTCATGTATAGTACGTACTATATACTTAGGGACCAACGGTTTGGACGCAACAGGTTGCGTGTTTCGTGGCATAGCACACAAGCGATACACGATGTTGGATAAGACTTCCTCTTTTGTGACTGTGAGTAGAGAAAGAAAGAAGTGACATGTCTGCCGTCGACGCAACCATACCAAACATGCATGTGTGCTTGCTAATCCTGTTTCCTGTGTGTGCAAAGAGTGTGGCCCATCAAGCGTGCGTGCGTGCGTGGCTCTTCTTCAATCCTGGCTAGATTTCGTCGTCACCGACCGTGTGCATGCCATGTTTTATGCGTCACATGCAAAGGCTGCCGTCTAGCTTATAACCTTGACTTTGACTTCCATTTCGATCCATCAAGTCGAGAAAGTACCACGTGATACCAACCTCATATGCTCCCGATTCTAGAAGTTAAAATTTAAATGTCCCCCAAAAATGCTGATATTTGCTTTGTGAGTGTTCACAAGACATGTGTCTACAACACTGGAAAAAAATAATCCAAACTCAAGATACACATTGAGAAACAAAGATGACAAATCCTTCATGAATAAAGTAAAAGACACAAGAGTAAAATAGATAACCCCTACTCCCAAGGATTTTTAAGGCGTCTGTTCGGATGACCGCCATACGGCACTAGTCCCCGGCAATAAAAGCCCGACGATGATGCGTCCCCATCACCAAATCCCTAGCCGCCGCCACCCCCTCCTCACCGCCTTCTCCCCTCCCATCTCCTTCACTCTCAACGACAATGTCGTCGTGCAATTGCGGGGCAAACTCTGCCCATGATGCACTAGCCGCGGCAACCGGCGCATCCTCCTCCCATGGCGGCGGGCGCGACAAAGATGGGAGGCTCCCATGGAGGCGGGCATGAGGGGTGGATCTGCTGCCTCGGGTGCCATTCTACCCCTCAACGAGGTCGTCCTCATCAACACTGCCCCACTTGACATTGAGGAGCCGAGGCCAGAGCCCGAGGACCCATTCGCGGTCATGATGCGACTATCCGAGCTCGAAGCGTATGCATGCCGTTGCGAGGAGCGCACACTCAATTTCGGCTCCGCTCGGTTCGACGAGGAGGAGGCGACGTAGCTCGCGATTGTCACTCCAAGCTCCGACCCCTAACCTACCTCAATTCAAACGAGGACGGGGAGGAGGATGACTAGACGATGTCGGTGACATAATAGTCTAGGTAGCAGTAGCAATGTTGAATAGCGACATTGTATATTTTAAAAAAAAGTCGTTTAACCGACATTTTAAGTTAAAAAAATGTAATGTGGTATATTTTGACCACAAATATATGTTGCTAACTAATTTAGTTGATTATGTTGTTGATACATGTGTTTGGTCAGATTATATTGAGCTTAAATTGCCCTTCGATTTTGAAGGTACTCCCTCTGTTTTTATTTAGTCTGCATATTAGGTTTGACCGAAGTCAAACTTTACAAAGTTTGACCAAGTTTATAGAAAAATATATGAACATTTACCATAACAAATCTATATGATGTGAAAGTACATTCAATAATGAATCTAGTGGTATTGATTTTTTTATTGTATATATTAATATTTTTGTTTATAAACTTAGTCAAAACTTACAAAGCTTGACTTTGACCAAAGCTAATATATGGACTAAATGAAAATGGAGGGAGTAATAACAATAGCCCTTTAGCGACTTTGTGCTTGCGCACATTTTCGACAACCTCCAAACTCATATGAAGCACGCAGCATGTCAGATGAAGATCGATGGTATGACAACTCTGCCAGAGTTACTCTAAGGCACGTTAGCACTAGACATTTACCCAAGTCCATCTCAGCAAGATGCTTTGTGGGCTTTATCTTTTTCACCGCAGATGTGTGCAGCAACATCAACTTCTCTCTAAGAAAAAATTGTATAGGTCAATCCAAGAGAAAATAATATATTAGCCAAAAGAACATTGTTGCGCGGGAGGTCTACACTTTTAGAAGCATGCATGCAGACTGAGCGTCTGGAATTAGATTGGATAGGTTGATGGAAACTTTAGGAGTTGTGGAACTTAGATGGTTATATTCCTTATGGTGTAAGTTGCTCATCTGGATTTAAGTCCTAAACTTTGCAAGGATGTTCGAACTGTCCTGAATTTATATCAGAATTTAACCACTTTATTTTTCATTAATAAGCGACGTGTCAAACAATGAGGTGTTTGTTAGACTTCATCAATCTTAAGATGTTTGTTAGACTTCATCAATCTTAAGATGTACATGTCATTTCAGTCTTTCGGAGTCAGAGATACTCATAGGGACAACGGTGTGCGCGTGTGCTTTTCATATGGATGAGTGTATGTAATGTATTAATAACCCTCACGTATATGGGATCAATTGTAGCATTTCTCGATAAATAAAAGTGTTGAACCCAATGAGGAGATAACGGTAAAATTAATATTACCTTCAAGTTCTATCGACCACCGATACAACTCTACGCACACTTAACGTTCGCTTTACCTAGAACAGGAATACTAGAAGTTCTTTGTAGTTATAAAGGGATAGGTTTAAGATAATAAAGACTGTGAAAATAAATGTTAGGTGATGTTCTAATTAAAGTACAATTAAATTAGTATAGCGAGTGTGGAAAACTGATGGTAGGATTTGTGAAATTTTCCCTAAGCAATTGGCTAAGTTATTAGACCGATAGCAAGTTTTTATGTGGGAGAGGCCACTGCTAGCATGTCGTCCCTTACTTGAAATTCTATGCACTTATGATTGAAACCATTAGAAAGCATCCGCAACTACTAACGTTCATTAAGGTAAACCCCAACCATAACATTAAGATATATTGGTCCCCGTTCAATCTCGCATGAATCAATTTCTATGGTAGGAAAAAACTTCTGTCACTCTTGCCCTACAATGCATAGTCCTATCAATATACAATTAACCATATGGTGTGATCCACACACGCGATCATATGATGGGCACCAAAGGACAACAACATAATCACGAGTAAATTAAACCAATCATAGCAATTCATCAATTACCTCAAAGGACAATAAAAATCTACTCAAACATCATAGGATGGCAACACATCATTGAAAAATAATATGAAGCATAAAACACCATGTTCAAGTAGAAGGTACAACGGGTTGCGGGAGAGTGGACCGCTGAATATAGATGAGGGAAGGTGATGGAGGTGTTGATGAAGATGACGGAGTTGTTGGAATAGATCTCCATCACACGATAATTGCCCCGACGGCATTCTGGAGCCACCGGGAGAGAGGGTTTCCCCTCTGGTCCTTAGTCTCCATGACTCCCGGAGGGCAGGAGCTCCTCCGAGATTGGATCTCTCTCTGTTCTCTTCTGTTTCGCGTTCCTGTTTTCTAGCCCTTGATCATTTCTTAAATTTCCGGAGATCTGTAACTTCGATTGGATTGAAATTTTGAGGGGATTTTCTTTTGGATATTATCTTTCTTGCGGCAAAAGAAGGGAACAAACGGTCTTACGAAGGAGCCACAAGCCTGCTGGGCGCGGCCAGGGTAAGGGGTCGTGCCCTCTGGCCCCTCGGGCATCGTCTCGCATTAATTTTTTTTCCCAAAAATCACATATATTTCAAAATAAATCTTTATAAATTTTTATTGCATTTGGACTCCGTTCGATATGGATATTCTACGAAACAAAAAAAACATGCAATAAACAGGAACTGACACTGGACACTGGATCAATATGTTAGTCTCAAGAATAATATAAAATATTGCTAAAAGTATGTGAATGTTGTAAAATATTGTCATGAAATAATCAAAAATACGACGGAGACGTATCATGTATAAGCGTCTGCATATGTACTGTGTTTCAAAAAAAAACGTGCATATTGATCAACTTGAATGGATTACACTCCCTCTAATAAGCGACGTTTTGGTAGCTGCCACTGTCTTCGGTAAACATTTGACCACCAAGCTCTATGCTTTGAAGTATGTATTAAACCCAAGAAAATATCAGCTCAATGAAAAATCCAAGAAAATATAATACTAAAAAAA